AGACCCATACCCATCCCGTGGGCGGTGGTAGACCCATACCCATCCCGTGGGCGGTGGTAGACCTATACCCATCCCGTGGGGAGTGGTAGACCCATACCCATCCCGTGAGCGGTGGTAAACTCATGCCCATCCCGTGGGCGGTGGTAGACCCATACCCATCCCGTGGGGGGTGGTAGACCTATACCCATCCCGTGAGCGGTGGTAGACCCATACTTATCCCGTGGGCGGTGGTAGACCCATACCCATCCCGTGAGCGGTGGTAAACTCATGCCCATCCCGTGGGCGGTGGTAGATCCGTACCCATCCCGTGAGCGGTGGTAGACCTATACCCATCCCGTGAGCGGTGGTAGACCCATACCTATCCCGGGGGGGGGGGCCTGGAACTTATATATATATATGCCTCTACAGTAGTTCCATGACCAACCAACACCCGGCAACTCTCGTTATGCGTTTTAGGTACAGTTTTTCATAAATTCCTAGTGCATGGTATATATATATATATATATATATATATATATATATATATATATATATATATATATATATATATATATATATATATATATATATATATATATATATATATGGTAAATATATTTTTCACGCCAATGCTTAGAGCACAGGGCGTGAAAATATAATAAAATATATGAATATATACATAAAGACCAGCAAAATAATAATAAATAAGAACTCTAAGCAAACACTGAATATTTGGACAAGTAATATTTATAAAATATTGAACAACATAACGTTCCAGGCGAGCGCTCCTGGACCCAGGCTGCACATTCCTTCTTTTTATTCCTCGTTTAAAAATAAATCCTCTAAAAATCCAAAGTCTCTCACTGTGGGGTTTAAAATACAACAGATGTATGAACTATGAATGTTAGCAGGAGATAAATCCGTTAAGTTATTACATATACCGGACTCAAGGTAAGCGTGGAAGTACTTGTCGTCGAGATACTCTTGACCACATCATGGTACAGTGGGTAGTGCGTGTGTGTCCGTGGCGATCAGGGACACACACACGCACTCACAATCTCCAGTTGAGAGGCGGGACCAAAGAGCCAAAGCTCAACCCCCGCAAGCACATCCAGATGAGTACAGAGAGAGAGAGAAAGAGAGAGAGAGAGAGAGAGAGAGAGAGAGAGAGAGAGAGAGAGAGAGAGAGAGAGAGAGAGAGAGAGAGAGAGAGAGAGAGAGAGAGAGAGAGAGAGAGAGAGAGTGAGTGTCCGACAAAGAGAATTACAAAACAAAGATCGCCTAATACTTCATAAGACTTATAAAACGATAATCGGGTTCTCTGCAACTCACGTTTAACGCGCATATCAACTTTCTCCACGGGGATAACGATAGCTTCATTATGTTCCATATAACAAAATTCAAGTATGCAATGACGTCCCAACAGGCACGCCTCTATTCATATTTGTATTTCTTGCCAACTCTCAGCCTCAAATTGGAGGAGTTTTGGGATTCAGGTGTAGAAATTGGGCGTGGAGTGGAGTGGACACTGGAGGGAGGAACTGTCTCTGGAGGAACTGAACTGGAGGAAATGTCCACTACGAGGAACGTATTGAACATTTTTCTCAATACCTTTCTCATCTACTGGGTGTGTCAGCTGGGTTGTAGATATGATCTGCTACATGTTCCAGCCATTCTTCTCTTTCTCATTCCCGTTTGTGTGTCTGACTTACACGCTAACTCACTCACTCTCCCTCCCTGCTGGAAGCCTCCTGCGAAGCCGTTTCTCATCATCACTTCACAGGAGAGTATCCCCATCCGGGGCTTCCTCATCCTTTCAAGAGCCTCGAGATGATCTGGACAGAGGAGAAAGAATGTAAAACGGGAAGGAGGGAAGATGAGGGGAAAGAGAGATAAGAGGGAGCCTAGATAGTGTTCTAAGAGACGCCGAGAAAAAGTTAAATAGAAGATGGAAGGAATAATAGGAAGGAAAGAGGAAGTGAGAGCAGATGTGTGTGAGAGAGAGAGAGAGAGAGAGAGAGAGAGAGAGAGAGAGAGAGAGAGAGAGAGAGAGAGAGAGAGAGAGAGAGAGAGAGAGAGAGAGAGAGAGAGAGAGAGAGAGAGAGAGGGGCATAGAATGTACGAATGCGGGTGTTGGAGAGATTAAGGGAGAGGAAGGGGGTGAGAGGCCGGAGGGGGGGGGGGGGGTTCCCATAATGGGTGCTAACTTCTGCACGAGCAGCCGTAATGGAGGGAGCACACATGGGCCAGCACCCTAGCTACGACTATAGCTGATTTTGAATCTTTTTGCTTTTCACTTTTTGCTAATTATTGAATTCAATTTTGAGTAATTTAACTAATATTATATTTAGCTGTCATTTGGATTACAAAATTGTGGGTGATTAAAATTATTTGCACTAATTTTTTATGTAAATTCTACATGTTTTACGTTTGCGGTAATTTTCACCTAGTCATATTTTAGTTATTTACCCAATCAATATTTAGCGGTATTCTGAAAATAAAAACTGGTGATGTCGTGATG